ACGCGTAGCATTAGTATCTGAAATTTATTCTCAAAGCAGCTCAGCTCTCTAGAGAGAGTGTTACTATCTGAAAATTAGCGGGAACCGACCTCGGAGTGACATCGAAAAATGCAAAGTTGACGTTTTTGAGAAAGGCCCCGAGAAGCTGTCTGCTTCGATCCTGAGCACTTTCGTGCTTGAAACGAGCTCTACGAGGTTCCCGGCGGTGCCCAGGTTGACGGTTCACCGCCGGCGCCAGTAGGCCGACACGACCAAAAGAGACAATGTGATAACTAACTCGTAGAGCTTCCCTCAGCTAGTTGCTGGAAGCTTTCGAGTAATTCCGGCGCGCTGGAGAGCTAGTCGGCAAGAAAAATCTCGACGGACCGTTTGGTGACTTTTGGTCGTTGAAAATTTGGTTCTCAAAATTCAACCATTCGTTGGAGATCTAGTATTTCATCCCGTGATATTCGATCTTATTTCCGCTTTCCATCTTGATCTCAGCTCGATCGGGTACCTTTTACTGCCAAGAAGCGTCCAGGCGGATCGGCCGTTTCGAGTCATCTCGACAGGCGTTCTCGGTTTTTTGTAATTTACTCGAGCCATAGGACAGCTACAGAGTTGATACCCACAGCAACCAATTCAGAATCATGAGTCCCGTTTGTCTGTTGAATCGAGAGCCCTGAAGTTGGTCTGCTGCCCGAGGTATGTTCGCGAAACTATTCGTTTTGTTCGAGTCATCTTGAGAGGTGTTGTCAGTTTTCGGATCTTAACTCGGGCTGTAGGGGGGCTACAGGGCTGGTTCTGACGAATCATTTGGACACAGCAGACGCGTCTGCCTGTCGAATCCAGAGCTCGGAACTCGGTCTGCTGTCTGAGCTAACTTCGCGAAACTATTCGTATTGTTCGAGTCATCTGAGAGGTGCTTTCGGTTTTCTCTACTTAACTCGGGCTGTAGGGGGGGCTGCAGGGCTGGTAATCACAGGAATCGATTCGGAGACATCAGGCGCGTCCGCCTGTTGCATTCAGAGATCTGAACTCGGTCTGATACTCGAGGTAGGTTCGCGAAACTATTTTTCGTATTCTTCGAGTCATCTTGAGAGGTGCTGTCGATTCTCGCACGTTTCTCGGGCTGTAGGAGAGCTCCAGAGATCGTATGCACAGAAAACGATCCAGAAGCATCAGAGGCGTTCGGCTGTTGCATCGAGAGGTCTGAAATCGCCTGGGCTGAAAACTATCCGTTCTCTGCAATTTTTATTCGACATTAGATATGGTCAGGAAGCTCTACGAGTCCCCCGGCGGTAAGAAAGATTGATGGTTTACCGCTGGCGCCCAGTTCGTGTGGGTTTTGCTAAAATTTGAAAGATATTTGACATTTCATTTTGAGAAAGCAGATTTTTACGCCGATTGGCATACAAACTTTGTTCCCTGAGCAGCTCAGCTCTCTAGAGCCAGTTTTACTATCGAAAAATTTGGAGCAACCGACATGAAGTTACAACCAAAAATGAAAATTCGACGTTTTTCTAGAAATGCTCCAATAAGCTGTCTGCTTTGAATCTAAGCACTCTTACGCGTGCACAGAGCTCTACGAGGTTCCCGGCGGTGACCAGGTTGACGGTTCAACGCCGGCGGCAGTTCCGGGGCGCCGGAGAGCTAGCTGGCAAGAAAAATCTAGACGGACCTTTTGGTGACTTTTGGTCGGTTGAAAATTTTGTTCTCGGAATTTAACCATTCGTTTGAGCTCTAGTATTTTTTCCCACCATGTTCGATCTTATTCCCGCTCGCCATCTTGATCTCAGCTCCATCGGGTACCTTCCAAAAAGCGTTGCGGCGGGATCGGCCGTTTCGAGTCATCTTGACACGCGTTGACAGTTTTTTGTACTTAACTCGAGCTGTAGAGCAGCTACAGAGCTGATACTCACAGAAACCGATTCAGAATCATCAGGCGCGTTCGTCAGTTGCATCTAGAGGTCTGAACTTGGTCTGCTACTCGAGCTAGGTCCGCGAAACTATTTGATTATTCGAGTCACGTTGACAGGTGCTGTCGGTTTTCTGTACTTAACTCGGGCTGTAGGAGAGCTACAGAGCTGGTATTCACAGAAACCGATCCATGATAACCAGACGCGTCTATCTCTAGCATCTAGGGGTCTGAGCTCAGTCTACTACTCGAGCTAGGTCGCGAAACTATTCGTATTCTACGAATTGTGTTGGCGGATACTGTCGATTTTCGGTGTTTAATTTGAGCTGTAGAGGCGCTAAAAGCTCATACGCATACGTAGCCGATTTAGAATTATCAGGCGCGTTCGTTAGTTACATCTAGAGGTCTTAACTCGGTCTGCTACTCGAGCTAGGTCCGCGCAACTATTCGTATTCTTCGAGTCATCTTGACAGGTGCTGTCGGTTTTCTGTACTTAACTCGGGCTGTAGAAGCGCTTCAGAGCTGGTACTCACAGAAACCAATTCAGAATCATCAGGCGCGCTTGTCTGTTGCATCGAGAGGTCTGAACTAGGTCTGCTTCTCGAGCCAGGTCTGCGAAACCATTTGTATTCTTCGAGTTCTCTAAACAGGCGCTGTCGGTGTTCTGTATTTAACTTAGCATAGCTACAGAGCTTGTACGCACACATAATCGATTCAGAGTCACAGGCGCGTTCGTCTGAAGCATCCAGAACTCTGAACTCAGTCTGCGACTCTCGCTGGGTCGCAAAACTATTCGTATTGAACCGATTTTTCTTCGAAATGACGGTGTATTTCTTCACCTAATTTGAGAGCTCTTTGGCACATATGATGCGCCGCTTCAGCACAACAATGGGAAGGGGATTATCAGCGGCAATAGTATCTAGACGCCTGGGATCAGTCTGCTATCAGCGCTCGGACTGCAAAAATTTTCGTCCCCTGCTACATCTCTGGACACAATATATGGAAAGGAAGCTCTACGAGTCTCCCAGCGGTAAGAAAGGTTGACGGTTTACCGCCGGCGCCCAGTTGGCCCACCCGGCCGGGGCGGACAAAGTGGTGACTTTTGATCGGTTTTGCTAAAATTTGAAAGATATTGAACCATTTGTTTTGAGATAACAGATTTTTACGCCGAGCATTGGCATATAAACTCCCCTTCTGACAGCAGCTCAGCTCTCCCGATGCATTTTCTTATGAGTTGACATCCGGGAACCGAGCGAACATGAACATCGAAAAAATCGAAAATGAAGATTTTCGGAAAATCTTGATTTATGACTCTACTTCGATTCTGAGCACTCTTACCAGTGTAAGGAGCTCTACGAGGTTCCCAGCGGTGACTAGGTTGACGGTTCACCGCCGGCGCCATCGATGAGCTAGACGAATTCCGGCGCGGGGTGGAGCTAGTTGGTCGACCCGACGTTAAGAGACAATGTGATGACCTGGGATCGGTTTTCCTAAGATTTGAAAGATATATGACCATTTATTTTGGGAAGCCAGATTTTTCGCACCTGTAGGGGGTTATTTCGCGTTTGCCAGTCAAATTCTCAGGTCTGTAGGTGCAGTATCACTATCAAAACACTTGGAGGAACCGACGTTGGATAAAAACAGAACAACGTGATTTTTCGAGTTTTTTGTTTCTCGCTCCAGAAGCTTTCTTCATGTGTTCCGACGATCGCCGTGCAAGAAAAGAACTCTACGAGGTTCCTGGCGGTAACCTGGTTGACGGTTTACCGCCAGTTCCATGTCGGGCGCAGCGTGGAGCTAGTTGGCCGACTCGATCTTAAGAGACAATGTGATGACTTGGGGTCGGTTTTTCAATCTTTGTGTAAAATTCGTGAATTCGTTTTGGGAGCCGGTATTTTTCCCACCTGTAGTGGGTTATACCGCGTCTGCCAGTCAAATTCTCAGGTCCGCAGCTGCAATATTACTATCAAAACACTTGCTGGAACCGACGGCCGTCAATGGAAATCTTTCTGTGGAGGATTTAATCGGGAGTCCTGCTGTGGAGGATTTCGATCGGCATCCACCTGTGCAGGATTTCAGTATGAACCCTTCTGTGGAGGATACAATCGGCTCCCTCTGCTGGGTTTCTCAGGGCGACGGGGATTCGGGATGCCCGCGCACCCATATATATACACATATGTAGACAAATTATATTTCCCCCCGGGTCCGTAATCGATGTCCACCGTGCGGTTCTTCGAGTCTAAGCGCGTTTCCCGTCATCCGCCAGCGAGTTGCCTGATGCGGCCTGGGCACCATAAGATGGGGCCTATGCTGGGGGCGCTTCCCGTCGTCCGCCACCGCGCCAGCGAAGCCCTTTGCGTGGTGACCCCTCGAGAACTGTCCACGTCGTCACATTTGACACCTCTGGAGGAGGAGGAGGAGGAGGAGGAGGAGGAGGAGGAGGAGGAGGAGGATCAGGATTAGGATGAGGATGAGGAGGAGGATGAGGAGGAGGAGGAGGAGGAGGAGGAGGAGGAGCAGGGGGCTGCTGGGTGACTCTTGAGGCGCTGGGGTGCCTCCCCGCCGACCCCAGAGGCCCGTGGAGGTTGAAACGAGGCGTGTCGGGTTTGCATTCCGTCCGGACAGGTCGGCCTTCCACAGGGCCCATGTCGGTCCGACCCATCCGATTCGATGTGGATGCTGGCCGGCCCGATCCGATTTTACTTCGATTTCCCGCCGATCCGACGCGACCCGAAGCTTGCATGGCGTTGTTGTGCACCCTTGTGCAGCCGATCCGATTCGATTTCGACTCCGTGCCGATGCGGTCCGATTCGACGCACGATCAGAGTCCATTCGATTTTCCGACTCGATGCTGGCTGATCCTCCTTGTGCAGAGCTCGGGGGAACGATTCGCCGTCAGCGCCGCACGCCCTTGTACCGACGACTGCAGGGTGCCTCTTTTGCGGAGCGGTCCGAAAGGGACCCGAAGGCCGAAACGTCCATGACCTCGGTCCTCCGTCCCCGAGGCTCTGAGGGTCCGACGGAGGGCAGAAGGAGGCTCAGGATGGCCGAGCTCTCCAGGATGGCGTGTCGCGCTGCAGGGGCCCCGGGGTGGCATGCGCCGGCAGGTCGGCCGCCTCTCCAGACGCGCGCCTGGGCCAGAGTCGGAGCTGTCGATCCCGCAGGGCGCGGCGCCGCGAGGCCTGTGCGCGACGGGGAACGCCTGGCCGAGGAGCAGAGCACCGACGCCGCCGCGACCCGTGGCCAGGCTGCAGGCCGCCCAAAGGGGGCAGGAGCAGAGAGGGGGCATTGCAGTGCGGGGCCCCTGCCAAGAGGCACCCCGCCTGCCTCCGGGGTGCCCTGGGCTTCGTGGGCTTCGATGGCCTTGCTATGGAGAGCGTGACGTTCCCACGCCAGCAACAACTTTTTTTGCTTCGCGGGTCGAGAGCGCACCGCTTCCGGTCGAAGCTAAGCGGGCCGCGCGAAGCTTGAATTAACCAGAGATGGGGGAGGAAAAGGGGGCCGCAGCCTCAGAACGAGGCTGGCAACACTCACCAGCAAAAACAATGGACGTCCTGGGGTCTCGGGGGTGGGATTCTTGTGGAAGGTTCCCCATGGATTGGCCTCCACTGTATGGTGGGCCCCTGGGCACCTGCAGGGGCCATGGGGCCCCTGGAGGTCCCCGCACGGGACCTCTCTTCGGCAGGAGGCCTCCACACCGTCTCCTCCTCTTTCCTCCTTTTCCTCGCCTCCTCCTCCGCCTCCTCCCCCCCCTCCTCCTCCTCCTCCTCCTCCTCATCCTCCTCCTCCTCCCTCCTCCTCCTCCTCCTCCTCCTCTCCCCTCCTCCTCCTCCCCCCTCCCCTCCCCTCCCTCCCCCTCCCCCTCCTCCTCCTCCTCCTCCTCCTCCTCCTCCTCCTCCTCCTCCTCCTCCTCCTCCTCCTCCTCCTCCTCCTCATCGTGTACTCCTCCTTCTCCTCCATCTCCTCCTCGTCCCTCTGGGGACCTCGGGATGCGGTCCGATGCTCCGACCCCATCTGCTCCGAGCCCGCTTGGGCGGCCTCCGCAGGCGCGCGGCGGAGCTTCGTGGCTTCGCAGAGGCGGTGAGCGGCCTGACGCGCGCGGGCCGCGCGGCGGAGGCGCTCGAGCTGTTCGAGCGGGCGCGGCGTTCTCACGTTGACCCCGACAGGGTGCTGTACAATCCGAGAGCCAGACGACGGCACGAGCGTGACCTGTCGGGCGTCCGTGGGCGGCTTCTCCGCCAGCGCGGGGCGCCCTCCCCGCATCCCCGGGGGCGGCACCTCCAGCGCCGCTGCAGGCGCGCTTCGCGCGCCAGCGACGGGCGTGGGGAGGGCGTCTGGGGTGCCGGCGGAGAAGCCGTTCGCGGGCCTCCGGGCGCTCATGCTCATGTCTTGCTCTGGCCCTCTGACAATGCCGCCGTGAGCGCCTGCGAGAAGGCCAGCCGGTGGGACACGGCTCTGTCGCTGCTGAGGGAGATGCACATCCTCGGGGCGCTGCGGGACCGCTCCCTGGATCCAGACGCCGCAACTTACAACGCGGCCGTTGGTGCGTGCGTGGACGGGCAGCAGCCTCTCAGGGCCGTGGACCTCTTCGAGGAGATGCAGCAGCACGGCCTGCGCCCAGATGCCATCTCCTTCGCGTCGGCGGTCGAGGCCTGCCGGCAGACCCGCGAGTGGGCGGCCGCCCTGCGGCTCCTGGAGCGCCTGTGCCACGAGGGCGTCGCCGAGACCACCCGCAGGCTCTCGGAGCCCGGGCGTGGCCGGCGGCTCGATTTTGTCGAGGGGCGGGGCTCCCAGAGCTCTCGGCCCCGGCCCTTTCCACCCCGAGGAGGTCTCTTTCTGTGGTCGGGGGGCCCGAAACTGGCCTCCGAGAGGGCCCACGGAGGCGAGCCGGCCGTCTCGACTCTTTCGGGCCGCCCGCGGCCTGCGTCGCGGCCAGTGGGCTACGGCACGGCGTCGGTGGCGGCTCTCACCAGGATCCAGGGGGGAGAGGCACCCCGACCCCGACAATCGGCGTTTACGAAGGGGCCCTGGGCGTTTCCTGAACAGGCCTGCCCTGTTCGATTCCTCCTTTGGGAGCGCTTACTGAACGGCTTCGCTTGTCGGGGTGCTGTATTCTGGGAGTGGATGCTCCGCTCTCTGCCCTCGCTCGCCCGCCTCCTGCTTCTCCTCCGCCTTCTCCTCCTCCTCCTCCTCCTCCTCCTCCTCCTCCTCCTCCTCCCCCTCCTCTCCCTCCACAGGAGGCGCCTGTGGGATGTGGCGCTGGCGCTCTTCTGGCGCCTGCGGGCCTCCGGGGCCCACGCCGACGTCACCGCGTGCAACGCCGCCCTCTCGGCGTGCCAGCGGGGGCGGCGCCCCGCGGAGGCCCTGGCGCTCCTGCGGGAGCAGCTCCTCGCCGGCGAAGAGGGCTGCCGGCGGGGCGCACAGCCCGATCTGGGGAAACCAGCAGTGCCAGAGGCGCCAAACCCTCGGAGGTCCGCGCGGGTTTCTCGGAGCGGTGCCGGAGCTCCCCTTGTGGCGCCTCCGGCGCCGCGCCCGGTGCGCTCCGCGCGCCCAGGGGAGGGGGGTCCAGCGCCGATCCGAGAAGTCCGCCGCGGGCTTCTGGGTGTTTGGTGTTTGTGCCGCTGTTCGTTTCCCTGTGGTCACACCACCTTCGGCCTGGCCATCGCCGCGTGCGCCGCGACGCACTGGCACCAGGGCCTGGCGCTTCTGGACGAGAGTCGGCGGCGAGGGAGGGGGGGAAGGGTGAGACGGAGAAGGCCCTCTTTCAGAGTCGAATATTAATATTAAGAGTAATAAGGACAATGACACTACTAGCAATAATAAGAATAATGCAACATATGGTCACACATGATACTATTACAATCAATACGAATACTAATACTACTAACAAGAAGGAACATGATAATAATAGCTATCATACTAATAAGAAGAACAATATTCATACTGAGAAGAATACGACTACCAATGACAGTACTGATACTACTAGTGATAGTAACAATAATGACAACTATAACTTGAAGAAGATAATACTATGAAGGAGTGCGCTGGGCACCCCCAGCGGCGCCTCCGGCGCCGCCCCTGGCGCGCTCCGCGCGCCAGGGAGGGGGGGATCAAGCGCAGATCCAAGAAGTCCGCGCGGAGCGCCCGAAGTGTATGTTGATGCCGTTTTCTCTTCTTCTACTCTCAGAAGGCGGCGGGGCTTCACAGAAGCCCGCCCGCCGGCCTCTTGAGAAGTTTTCTATGTGTTCGGGGTGATGGCTTACACAAAGCTTCTCAGGAGGCCGGGGAACCTTTCCGAACTTTCTGAGGAGGCCTTCTCTCCTGCTCCCCCTCCCCCCCGCGCTCGCCGCCGAGAGATGGGGGGCGTCCGGCTGCACCCCGACGCCAGCAGCTTCAACGCGGCCATCGCCTCCTGCTCCCAGGGCAGCGCCTGGCGCCAGGCGCTGCGCCTCTTCCGGGAGATGCGCCGGCGCGAGGTCGCCCCCGACCTCGTGACGTTCAACAGCACGATCCACGCTGCCGGCCGGGCTGCTGAGCGCGGCGAGGCGGGCGCCTCAGAGCTCGTGGCCGCTCTGAGGGGGTCGGGCCTGCAGCCAGACCGTGTGACCTTCAACGTGGCCATCGGCGCGTGCGAGCGGGAGGACCGGTGGACGGACGCGCTCGCCCTGCTCACGGAGATGGAGCAGCTGGAGCTCCGCCCCAACGTCGTGACCTGCAATTCGGCGGTGGGTGCCTGCGGCGCGGGGTCGCGCTGGGACCTAGCTCTCTCGCTGGCGGGCTCACTGCCGCTGCGGGGCCTGCGCCCGACGGGCGCCACTTTCGCGGCCGCGGCCGTTGCCTGCGAGCGCGGGCGGCAGTGGCAGCGGGCCGTGGACGTGCTCGCGGAGATGCCTTGGCAGAGGCTGAAGGCGAACGTCGAAAACTACAACTCAGTGATCAGTGCTTGCGGGTCGGCGTCTGCCTGGGAGTACGGCACGGCCGTGCTCGCCGACATGCAAGCACGCTGGGTCGTCCCCGATCCGGTGACCTACCTGGCGGCGATCTCGGCCTGCGCGACCGCGGGCTGCTGGGAGCAGGGACTCGCGCTGCTCGACGCGTGCCGTGCTCGCTGCGGTGCGACCCCCCTCGAGGCGTTCAACGCGGCGCTGAGCGCCCTGGAGAAGGGCGGGCAGTGGCAGCGCGCCCTGGCGCTGTTCCGAGGGATGGGCCGCCCCGCGCGCGGGCGCCCGGCGGCCCCGGCCCCCGACCGCGTGTCGTACCTCGCCGTGCTGCTGGCGCTGTGTGAGGCGGGCCCCGCCGCGGCCGCGGCGTTGCACGCCGTGTACGACGAGGCCGCCGGCGGCGGCGGCGCCCTGGAGCTGCACGGCGACCGCCAGGCGGACGGCGCCCTGCTGCTGGACCTGCACGGCCTGCCGGGGGCCGTGGCGGCGCTCGCCGCCACGAGGGAGCTGGAGCGCGAGCTGTCGCGCAGGGCCTGGTCGGGCGGTGACGGGCGGCGGGAAGGGGACGAGGAGGGGGAGGAGGAGGAGGAGGAGGAGGAGGAGGAGGAGGAGGAGGAGGGGAGGAGGAGGAGGAGAGGAGGAGGAGGAGGAGTAGGAGGAGGAGGAGAGGAGAGGAGGAGGAGGAGGGGGAGGAGGAGTGGAGAGGAGGAGAGGAGGAGGAGATGGGGATGAGGAGGGGGATGAGGAGGAGGAGGTGGAGGAGGAGTAGGAGGAGGAGGATGATGAGGAGGAGGAGGCGGACGAGGAGAAGGAGGAGGATGGGGGAGGAGGAGGAGGAGGAGAAGGAGGAGGAGAAGCAGGAGGAGGAGGACCAGTGTAAACCCAAGAGTCATCAATGATGTTGGAATTCGCCCTCCCTCCAAGCTCCTCTTCATATGCCCCTACAAGGGTTTATTTCCACTGAGGGAACTGCCTCGTTGGAAGACAACCGTTTGAAGACCTTGAAGCATGCCAAAACATTGTTCTTCGGATTTCCACGCCACGGATCAATCTGACTGCTGCGTCCTGACGATGTGGAATACTGCCAGAAAGCCATCTTGTATTTCAGCACCACGGATCAACATAACTGTTGCGCCCTTATGATTCTTTAGCGTTGCAAAACACCATTTCGGGTACGTTGACCATGGGAACCCGTGAAACTTTTGCGTTTTTTGAGAACTCATGTGCGCGGCGCTACTGCGATAATCACATTTTGAAGAAGGAATCGCCCCCAACCCGTGAAGCTCTTACAATTTTTTAAAACGAGTGTGCGCGGCGCTAAGGCGAGAGCCACATTGTGAAAACCACTCGCCCTCAATCCGTCAAGCTCCTGCAACTGTTGAAAATGAAGGTGTGCGGCGCTAAGGCGATAATCTCATTTTGAAAAAGAACCGCCTTCAATCCGTAAGATTGTTCAACATTTCAATAAGAACGTGCGCGGCGCTAAGGCGACAGCCACATTTTGAAGCGGAGCCGCCCTTAATATGTGAAGCTCTTGCGATTTTTTGTTCTTAAGCAAAAAAAGAATATGCGCGGCGCTAAGGCGTGAGCCACATTTTGGAAACCACACGCCCTCAATCCGTGAAACCCTTGCAACTTTTTGAAACGACTGTGCGATAACCACCCGCCCGCAATTCGTGAAACTGTTGCCGTTTTTAAGCTTCAGAGTCATACATATTGAGAAGTCTCAGGCGAAACGCCCAGCCCGCCCTAAAAACAGGCCTCGGGGTGCGACAGGGAAAAGTTATTTATAAGGAAAAGGAATGGAGGAGGAGGAGGAGGAGGAGGAGGAGGAGGAGGAGGAGGAGGAGGAGGAGGAGGAGGAGGAGGAGGAGGAGGGGAGGAGGAGCAGAGAGGAGAGTAAGGGAAAAAAGAGGAGGATGAGGAGGAGGAGGAGGAGAGGGGAAGGAGGAGGCAGGAGGCATGAGGAGGGGAAGGATGAGGAGAAGAGGAGGAGGAGGAGGAGGAGGAGGATGATGAGGAGGATGAGGAGGAGGAGGAGGAGGAGGAGGAGGAGGAGGAGGAGGAGGCTGTTCCGGCGGTGATGGAGGTTTCTTGCGAGAACCTTGCGATCGCGCCCCGAAGTGGGCGGCCGCGGCCCCCGTCCACAGGCCGCCGTGGCGAGCGGGCGCCCAGGGTGGCCCAAGCCCTTCCGGGGAGGCCCAGGCCAGCAGAGCGCCCGCCTACGCGGCCCACGAGGCCCCGGAGGCGACACCATGGAGCGAACCGCTGGGGGCACCTCGGGCCAGGATCCCTTCCGGCAGCCTCCGACGGAGGGGGCCTGGACCGAGAGGGGCTCGGCGACCCCAGCACCCCGGCGTCAAGATTTTTTCAGGACGTGGACCCCCAGAGGTCTGGAATCCTTCCCCGGGACCGGTTTTTTATATTCAGAGTCATTTTTTGAAAGTCCCGAGGCCCGGTAAGAGACCCTGGAGGCCGAGAGCAGAGAAGAACCTTCCGTCAGGATTTTTCATGACCCCAGGGGGTCCGGGATGACAGGGGGCTTTTCAGAGCCTCCTCGCCTGCTGCTGAGCCCTTTCAGAAGCAGCCTCCGATGCCTTCCCGCCCGCTTTCTTGGGATGCCGACCCCTTCGCCCGACCCCACGACCAGAGACCGTTAAGAGCTGGTTCCCAGACGCAGCCACGCGCACATTGGGGGGGGAAGTACAGTCGGGATTGATTGGAGAGGAGACGCGATAGGACACAAGACCCTTTCGAGGGCCACGTTGCCATAGGAATGTAGAGGGCATGGGTCGCGAGACACAGGACACAAGGGTACCCTTGATTTGGCTCGGCAGGGTCGACCTACTACTCAATCTCGATTGTAGGGGAAGTGGGGAAGGCTTCTAAGAACCCCCCCCCCCCCTACTCCCTTGTGCGCGCCGCCAACAGACCCTTCCTTGGATCCATTCTGGCTGGTTTTCCGAGCCGCGTCCAGCGGTTGTGCCGAGAGGCTCCAGAAACGGCCCACGAGCCCTTGACCTGCGGCGAACCGGTCGACCTCGTCGCCCTTGCCTCCGGAGGTATCCGACAAGCCCTTGATGCCTACCGAGGTCCCCAGAGGGCCCCTGGAGGCCCTTGGAGTCCAGGAGCGGGCCAGAAACTTTTAGAAGCCTCGAGCAGCTCCCCAGACGGACGCCGCGCCGCTGGCCCCTCCTGGAGAAGCCAAGAGTTACCGTTAAGTCGGGCATGTCCCTCTACAGGAGGAAAGTTCAAAAATCGCAAACAGAGAGTCCATGGACGAATTATTGGAGTATTTTGGATCATTTATGGGCATTCTTTGAATATTTTTCCCGTCCAAGATTCGCCTGTAGGAGGACATGCCCGACCTACAGGTACCGATAGCGCTACTCTCCAGACCGCTCCCGGAGTGCGCTCTGACCAGAATTACGAGGCGAATCCAGCGGTGATGACGAGGGCCCCCCAGGAGGCCCCCAAAAAGGCGACAACGAGACAAGGTCAGCAGCATGTTCGGATGCAACTCCTGGGAGGTCAAATTCTGACTTGCCCTGGTCCGAAATCCGGCTTAATCCAGTTTATTCCCACTTAATCCTGCTTAATCCCGATCAATCCGGCTTGCTCCCGCTCAGTCCGCTGCCCAATCTGGCGTGGCAGCCTCCCAATGGGGCTTAATCTTCCTCCACCACCACCACCATAGGCTGGAGGGGGGAAGGAGGTGGAGGACGAGGAGGGGAGGACGAGGAGGGGGAGGAGGAGGAGGGGAGGAGGAGGAGGAGGAGGAGGGAGGAGGAGGAGGAGGAGGAGGAAGAGGGAGGAGGAGGAGGAGGAGGAGGAGGAGGAGAGGAGGAGGAGGAGGAGGAGGAGGATCCCCTCCCCCTCCAGCTTGTGGTGGTGGTGGTTGTGGAAAACAGGCCCACCAGTAGTTGCCTC